AAAAAAAAAAAATAAAGTCTCGAACGTCAAATCCCATTGATCGATCCTCCTCGATCCGTATAAAATATACACACAGTACGAAACCGCGTTATCCCCAAGATCCCGATGTCTGATCGGCTTAAATCGCGGTAACGGCCCCGCTCGTTAATCCATTATTCAACGAGCGGATCGCGCCCTACGTGATGCGGTATCACAGTGAGAATGTGTAATAATTCGGCGTTAAGGGGAAGGGGGTCGCGATCGATCTCCCTCGGCGGCGATGGGAATCGGCTGACAGCCGTGCGGCGGGCGTATCAATTTCGCGGCCGAGCAGAACGTGGAAAGAGAGACGATCTTCCCCGCGTCTTGCTCGCCCGCTCCTAATTTATATGCACAAGTTGATGCTGCATTTGCCTATTAATAATCTAGAACTAATTAATCTAAGGAGGCTGTGTGAACAAATGGTTTTGAGAACTCAACAGAGGGAGCCACGGCGTTAATCGCCCCATTAGGGAGGTTTTAAGTGATTCTCAAGGCCGTTGCGTGAATCTTTTTTGCAAGTCGCAAAGATTTTATCAATAAGGTTTTTTTTTGAAGCATCGTGAAGATTTTGTCACTTAAATTTTGAGTAGTAGTTTTCTTTGATCTAGTGTTTTCCAAAAAAAGGAGAAGGGGATTAATTTAGATATTTCTTGGAAAGCAATTGGCAAAATGATGATGAAATTTTTGAGATGTGGAAAATTTTGGAGATAAGGAAAAAAGATGGAAAATGCTATTTTAATCTTCGATGCTTCACTTTGAAAATTGGAGAATTTCAAAAGACGAAATAATTTTCGATGGAATAATTATAATTATATCAGTTAGAAGATGAAATTATTATTTTTATAATTTGAAATATCAAATTATTGGGTTATCAAATTTTGAAGAACACGTGACGTAACACCGTGGCTCTTTCAATTTTTTGAAAAAATGAACATGATCGATGTATATATGCAATTAATGCCTCTGTGTTGTCATAATTCATCAAATCAAATCAAAATGTACGAAACAAAAAAAAAAAACACACACACGAGCCGACCAGTTATTTTTTCCCTCTTTTCAACCTGTTCTCGCATTCTTGAGAGCTAAAAAAAGGAAAAACCCGATGCTTATTGAGAGAATTAGAGGGAAAACACCGATCGACTCGTGAAAGAAAATATATCTACAGTCTTAGGATCGAAAAATTTTGTGGGAAGAATATAGTATACGTATAATAGACAGATCTATCTATAATGTATAAAATATGTACAAATGAGAAATATGTAAATTTACAAATAGTACGTACTGGAATAAGAAATACTGGGACTCAAGAAAACGCATGCACTTCAGGGACTTCGATAAACTATATATATATATATATGCCCACAGAAGAGGGCATATATATATAACTATATGTGTGTAGTTAAGAATGTGTGATAGAGTTGTACGTATAATATGTGAAAGATTATTTTAACCCTTTCGAGATTAATAAAATAAAAAGACCAATGCATTATAAAACAAATTATTTATTTTTAACGAATTATTAATAAAAAAATTTGAAAATTCTCTATCTTTTCTTTTTAATTATATTTCATTGCTAAAAGAGTCTGGAAAGGGTTAAGATGCGAAGCAACATTGGGATAATAATTACGTACCCTCGACGAATTAAATCTATATATATTCTTTAAAAAATCGTCAAAAAGGGGAGGGGGGAAGGGCGCGCGTAAATTCAATTTACGCATTCGAAGGTAGTAACGTCACGGGTTTTCTGAAACATTCTCAAAATCTTAGTTCCTTTCCACTCGGGAATCGATTCACGATTTCACGATTCTATTCGATCCAACGATTTGTATCAACGAGTTTCAATGTCTCTGCTTGAAAGAGGAACCCGAAGTCTTTCACGCGACTTCCCACGACTCGTCCCGTCCCTTCTGATTTTCGAGCGATCCGATCGTGAGATATTGACGACCCGAAACAGGAACGAGGTTTTAAAGTACCGCGGCTTAATCTCCGCGGTTGGACGGCCACGTGTAATTGCAATTCGAATGTATCGGATTACGCGAACGTATTGCGTGTATCACGAATTAACTCGATTTTATCGGTCTCAATCCCTCTTCTGTGGGCAAAAATAATGTCGGAATATCGGTTTGCGAAATTCGATTCGTATCATTCGATCATTTTTCGAAATGATATTTACAGTATTTTGGTGTTGATTACGATTACGATTAATTTGTAATCGATAGGGAGTTAAATTTTTGTATTTTGAACTTTTTGTGTTTAATATTTTGATTGATTTTTACGTTTTTTTTAATTCCATTGGAAAAGATTCTCTTAAATTTTTAACGAGAGCGAAATTTTAAATTGTAAAATCATCATCTAATAAATATAACTTTTATCAGAGTATCAGAGTTTCTTGCGATATATAAATTTTTCCATATAATAATAGTGATTAATTTTGTACCAAATGAATTAAGTTTTATGAGTAAATTAAATCATCCAATTATTTTATTTAATATTAAATTTGATATAAAAGAGGAAATTATATACTACTTTTTATAATTTATTAATTCGATAATATGTTATTGTGAGAAATGATTTAGATCATAACAATAATAAATGATCAATATCATTATATTTGAATACCAAACAAAATACAAATACACTTTAATAAAAACTTATTAAATTAAATATATATAGTCGAATTGATTTTTAAACGTTAAACCAATACTAATGTTTCACGAATAAAAGTTCCATTTCACATTTCCTTATACCAATTGCAAAGACAAATTATTTTCCATCATAAATAGAAACACACAATAGAAAACGATATTCACTCCCTCTTGTTACCCTTCCTACCATCGTAAGCACTGCCCGTGCAAATATTAATCAGCAATGTTTGACAGCAATAAAACCGAGCAATTCGTGATACACGTACGATGATAGAAACGAAGACCGACGTTTATCTCTATCGATTAAACCCGGATGTACAACATTCTACCGTTGATCGTGGATTAAACGAGTTTCACGAATGCAACTCGAATCTTTTAGACAACTCGCAGAAATTAAATTTACACCGAGATCCGCTCTGGTTTCATCGAACCGACGAATTTTCTCGCGACACGAAAATTCTTCTCCGTTTTCATCCTTCTTTTTCCTCCGTATTTCATTCTTTATTTCCCGGACCGTGAACAATTTTAATGAAATAAATTTAATTCGATCGAAATAATTTTCATTCGCGGAATACGTTTTTCTTTTTTCTTTTTTTTTCTTTTTTTTTTTTTTTACACCGTGGAGGAATTCATTGGATTTTTACATCGTCCGCGGGAATAATTAGATTCGCTGATCGATTCATCGCGCGGGACCAAATTACCTATGCAAATGCGGCAAGATTGGGTTACCTGTTGTACATGAGAATGTCTGGCTTCCAGAGCTTGTTTGGTGTAATTCGAAGGTCCTTTACACCTCCGTACTCGGACTCGTTCCATTGGAGGTTGTAGTCCACCCATTCCTGAAACATCGAATAATTATCGTCAGTGAAATAAGTTTTTTTTTGGAATACGTATCGCGTTTTATTAATTCTTTGCGCGAGAATATTCGCAAATTGATGGTAAAGGATTCGTAGAGTTTTAAATGATAATGCGTACGCTCGTCCACGAGATTAAAAAAAATTGGCAATCTCTGAAAATTGGAGAAAAAAAGTTTGTACAATACTCTCTCTCTCTGGCTCCATTTCAAAGGATGAAACCTCTACTTTTGATTGAATTTTTTAAAAAGGGAATGTTTTTATATTACAATTAAAATGAAAAATATATTTTTAAAAATTTCACCGATTTAAATGTCTCTAATTTTTTTAAAACAATTTTTCAATTATTCCTTTTTACAAATCGTTCATTTGTAGAGAAAAGTGATCCTCTTTATAGTGATTTTTAAAAAGTTGATGAACTTTTTTTCATTGTTTTGTGGCACATTGTGTTTCATGTTACATATATTTAGTAATGGTTCGTGTATATTTAATAAGAGTTTACTATGTATTTAGTGGATATTTATTTAATGTGAATAATGTAATTTAAACGATGCATCATTTAAAAACAATGCCAAATGATAATAATATTAATAAACAGATTTATAAATAGAAAATATTCTGATTTACACGTGCTTTAATTAATTTCCTATCTAAATAAAATTTACACGTTGAAACCATGATCAATATTTAATTATTTATTAATATCGATTATTCAATCATAATTTAATATTATCCAATTCTTATAATATCCTTTGATGAAACACGAATATGATTAATTCTAATAAAAAAAAAATAACGTGCATTACAATTCACATTATCACACATATATTTATAACAAATTAAAGAATATAATCCATTTAAAAGAAAAATTCAATTCAATTTTACTTCACATATAAATTCCATTATCGGAAATAATTTTAGAAAAAATATCAATTTTCCGTAGCACGCAGAGGGTAATGAAGCACGAAGAATTACGAAATTAATTAATTAAATCCTTGAAAAGAAAAAAGTAATAAAATTAATTATTCAGATATATTCTTTTTTTCCTCTTTCGTTTTGAAAACGATTCAAAAGCCTTGGTGGGATAAACACGCGATCAAATTGAATTCGACGACGTAATTTCGACCGTGAATTTCATCGTCGAACTGTTCTCCACTTTTGAGAGAGAAAACCGTGGATCCTTTCATCTTTCTTTGATTGCCTAGGCTTGAAGAATGGGCTCGGAAAACGGCTAAAGCTTGAAGGCATCGTGTATACGAGCAATCCACAAAGCGCGCCGAGATTCGAGGAGATAAATTTGCTAAGAGCTCTAGGTAGAACAGCGGAAATCGGTGCTGGTGAATTACAGTCGAACGACAAGACGCTTCAAAAAGCTCGGATAATTGTTATTGTTTCGAGCCTCGAAAATATCGCGAGAACGTTGAATGGACCATTCTAAATGTAAATTGCCTAAACATCCTCTTTGTGCCTTTTGTTTCGTCTCGACGAGGGGGGACGGATTGAAGCGAAACGCAATTAAAAATAACACCAAGACCGATGATATTGAGATTGAAAAAAAAAAAAAAAAAGAAGTCGTTTTAATTGGATTTGTTTGTCCTTTGTAAGATAAGTTCTTAAGAAAAAAGAAGGTTCGAAGGTTTTCCATTTTTTTTTAAAGCTTAAAACTTATTTCAGAAATTGAACGAATTTATAACGATTAAAAATAATATACAAATTTTTATTTTTTAACATACAAGCATGAAGTGTTCGCCTAAAGACGTTAAAAAAATTAAAGAAAATTTATAAATTAATTAAACTCAAACCAGATTAATTAAATTTACATTTAAGATTCAACTTACATTTAAATGGCTTAAGATAACACTTAAATCAATCTTCTACCATTAATAAAATTATCATATGTTTTCACAAATAAAAACACGTTAAAATTAAAGAATTAACTTTATTTCAATTTCATGGATTCTGATTGATAATAAGATTATTATTCTTGCCAAGTTGCATAAAATCTACACTTTTACTTCTCACTCTATCTAGACAGAGATAACAAATTCATCTCGAAGACATTAATATCTCGCGAGATTGAGTCAACGTCAAAACGAAAACCGCAAGCCAAACGAAGGAAATGGACACGGGCAAAGGGCTTAGGGTGAACCACGCGGCCGGTGGTTGTGTATATTTAAACGAAGCGACTTTCGAGGAATGCGGCGACCTGGTTTCACGACCTGGTGGTGTGCAAGTTGCGCATAGAAAACGCGGTGTTTTATAATGTATACTTCAATTTCCGGGTCCGGGCGGCCGAGTCTCGGCGTTTGCTCATTAGATTACGCGGGTGAATTGCACAAACGAGAAATTCAGAGGGTGAAAGTTCGCCTTCGCGGGGGCGGAGACGCGTCTGCCCGCGGAGATTTTCGAGTTCCTTTCCCTGGCGATACGCTAGCTTCCTGTGAGCCGTGGAAACGAGGCGTAACGAACGTTTCTTTCTTTCTTCTTTTTTTTTTTTTTTTCTCCGTACTGAAATAAAATTTCGTCTCAACGGCTCACCGACCGTTTTCTATTTACTGGCAACCGGAGCTTCCGGAAGGAGTTTCAGAGATTAAAGGATCGCTTTCCCTTTTTTTCCTTCGCTTTTGTCTCTTTCTTTTCCCTTTATTTTTCTTCTCTGTCTCTCTCTCTCTCTTTTTCTCTTCTTCATTTCATCCGCCGTTTTTTTCTTCATTTTCTGATTTTTCGGTTTTCATCCGTGAAGAAACGTTGAAGGATTTTTACCTTTTAATCTTACGCTCTAAGGTATGTTTTCATTTTCTCGAGAAGTTGAAAGCTTATTCCGTCTTATGTTATTATGTCATGTTCCATCACGTGATGGTTAAAGTTCATTCCTGAGTTCATTCCTCATTCGTTTTTCAACAGAATCATCTTGTTTTATATCTTATGATGTAAGAGTTGAATAGAATAGAGAAGGAAAAATTAAATGATCTATAGATATTATTTAGTTGATCGTTTAGTTGACTTTACTTAGGCTATTTGATCATGATTGATTTGTTCTACTTCTTTGAATTACTGCGTAATTTCATTTTTAACATTTGTTTTACACAATATACAATATATTTAAAAACAATTTTTATTTCTCTCTATATGGATTATTTACATGTAATTGTAATATAATAATATCTTTAAAAAAAATTGCAATTTAAAAATTATTTTATTTTCTGAGATCAAGTGATTACCTTTTTATGAAATTTATATATATCAAAATATAATTAATGTATACTAATGTATTTTTGTATTATTTAATTTTTGATAAATTTTGATTAACTTTTTTTTTAATAACTAATTTAGAATTAATTAATTTCGATAAGAATTGATTAAAATTTATCAAGATCCAAAAAATGTACAATTTCATCATATATGATTTATGTGCTTTATGCATGACTATGCTACATAGTAGTTTTGTATATTTTCTTGCACAAGATAGATGATATTTTTCGTATAAAATGAACAGAAAGGATTTTCATATTTCAAAACTTTTTGAATTTTTGTTTTTGTAAAAAGAATTTGGTCATTTATCACTTTTCGAAACTTACAACAAGTTTACAATATTATTTATAGATAACAATAATAATAGAAATATAGAAATGATATATTAATTTCTCATAATAAATTATTAATATATATCTGACTATATAATGTTAATTTATATTTATAGTTACTACTTATATATATATATATATATGTAAGCAGCTATATAATTAGAGTCAAATGAAATTACTTTTTTCAATTTGAAAATACTTTCACAGTTGCATTATAGAATAATATCAATTCTGAATAATCAATTATTTTATTCAAAGATATTCTTGTCAATTTTTTTATTTAAAACTGCCTTTTAAAATTTCGATTTTCAATTTAGTAGTGAACATGGTAAACCCTATATAAGATGATCTTTTTGTAATCACCAAAGTATAGTTATATAATATTTACGGTGTATAGTACAATGTCTATATAATGCCTCTTTAGAATCTCAATCCTTTCTTGATATCCAAGCACACGCAGGACTAGTCAAAGAAGAATTATCGAAGAAGAAGGGGAAAAAACAAGGGCTAATGATATACGAGATTCTTTCTGAATTTCTTTACAATTTTATGGTTATTCTTACGTATGAGCACATTTTTAAAAGACAAATCATTCTTTGCAATAGAAAGAAAAATTTACAATAAATATTTTCTTAAATGTAACCAGGATTAAAAATAAGAAAAATTGGATTAAATTTTATTTCGTAAAATCATATTATATTAAGAATCAATAAAAAGTTCACAAGAAAATAATTATTTTTAACAAAATAAAAAAAATTTGGAATAAAATGACAAAAATTCTAAGTTTCTAAGAAATCGCTATAAGTGTTTTTGTAAGATATTAAAAGACTTTTGGTCTCAGGTGTTTTCCATAAAATGTGTAAAAAAAGTTTGAAGGAAACGATTGAACCTCACTGTGGATGATTATAGGTAAGAATATTATAAGTTTCTACACAATGTCTGTGTTAAACAAAGTTTGAACGATATCTTTGTTTATATAATAAGTGAAGAACGAGAGTATATTTTCTATCTTAGAAATTTTAAGGTAAGTGTTTAAGTTAGTCTCTAAATATGAATTAAAAATATTTGCAACTTTTCGTGTTGAATAATAAAATAAATATTTGATATGTTTATAGAAATATAATTTCCTATATTAATGTCATTTATTTATAGTAATATTGAATTTCTTGTAATAATTTATGTAATATACAACAACACTTTATTACTAGTATTATTTAACAAAATTTATTTGCATATTAATACTTTGTTACTAATATTAATATAATTAACTAAATTTGATAAATATTTTTCTTTACTCCTAACATTGATAGATTTTGTTCATTATTTAATTGATCAAAATTTGATTTTCTTCATTTTAAATAATTTTTTTATATAATAATATATAATAATAATATGTAACTG